CAGCTTGAAAATTCACACTTTATTCCTTCTCTGCTCTACTTTCTTACTCTATTCCTATACTTAATGATTTCATTTCCAAAGTAAACTGTGTGTAATGGAATCCTTGCCTCAGTGTCAGCTTCTGGAGGAACCCAAGCCTAACCATGTTGTTACTTTGAGTGCTATTCTAAGTGTGGTCTGCAGATGGCGCTGGTTTGTGGCCTGGTTGTTAGCCATCTGATAAATTCAGAATTTGAGCTTAAAACTTTAGAAATTTTTATAGCAATATGATGTTGCCACAACATGTAAGCATGTGATTTTGTGTACACAAACACACACACACACACACACACACACACACACACACACACAGAGTCTGTGGTAAACGGACAGAAAACAAAAACAAAAAATCTGGCCTTTACCTCAGATAGTTGGAGAGGCCCTAACTTTAAATGATGGTCCTAAGAACAATGGGTGGAAGTACAACTAGAAAAATTTTGGTTATGGGCACCTGGGTGGCTCAGTCAGTTAAGCCTCCGACTTCAGCTCAGGGTGTATGATCTCAGGGTCGGTGAGTTTGAGCCCCACATTGGGCTCTGTGCTGACAGGTTGGAGCCTGGAGCCAGCTTTAGATTCTGGCAGAACTCTTCCATTTCAATAGATTCTCCCACTCTGTCTGAATGGAATTTGAGCAGTCACTCTGTCATTCTTTTTCTTTGTTTTAAAATTTTTTAAGGAGTCTTTACTCTTTCTGTATGTTTTGTATTTTATTTGCTTTCTCTAGTTGTTTCATTTTCTTCTGTTTCTAACAAGAGACAGGGTTAGTAAAAATGGAACTAATATGCTGATTGTGTTCCTGAAAACCTGTTGACTGTCTAAAAATTATAGGGGAGGGGTGCCTCCGTGGCTCACTTGGTGAAGCATCCGACTTCGGCTCAGGCCATGATCTCACAGTTCACTGGTTCTAGCCTCACGTTGGGCTCTGCGCTGATAGTGCAGAGCCTTGAGCCTGCTTCATGTTCTGTGTCTTTCTCTCTGCCCCTCCCCTGCTTGTGTTTTCTCTCTCTCTCTCTCTCTCTCTCTCTCAAAAATAAATAAATAAACATAAAAATTATGGGGGAAAGTTTAGTTCTAGTTGATCCTGTTCTGATAGTCTTTGGTGTATTGTGAGTTTCATCCAGTGACTGTTCGTAATTTACAGAACTGGGAAACTGGCAACTAGGTAATGGTACAGAATCTTTTTTTTTTTTTTTTTTTTAAGCACTGAAGTTTCTCAACTGGCATTAAAATACTAAGTGAACAATGTTAAGAGATTTCCTAGGTGAGTCACTGGACCTCAAGAACAAATAAGTTCATTCACTGCATAAAGCACTGAGGTGAAACCAGAGAGAAAGAACACATTTGAGTTTGAGCTTCCGGAGTAGAGCTCAGCTGTTCTTGGCTACTCTTCTGAGTCCTCAGGTCAGGGGTTTTGCCTGCCTCCAGGTGAACCAAGCTCTCTCTGTGAGGCTTATGCTAGCTTGTCATCAGACTGGAGTGGGAAGATTTTCATGGCACTTGCAACAAAGTGGGAAGATTTTCATGGCACTTGCAACAAAGTTGAACTCAGTGTTGAAACTGCCATGGCAGTCACTACAATCTCATAGGGTGTACTAAAATCAACACTAGGCAAATGTGGAGTGTTGAAGGTGGGCAATCAGGGATATTGAAAGTACTAATGAGCCCCCTCTTTAAATAATATTTTGAAAAAGAGTTGTCAGTGGTTCAGTCCATCCAGCCTAATATATGCATTTGAAGGAATGTTTTGGAGGATGGCCTGAGTGTCCTCCATTATATTGTGGTGTTAAAAGGGAGTGGCCTTGGAGGCACATTGCCTCCAGTTCGAATTCCAGCTCTGCCTCCTATCAGGCAAGGCACTCAATATTTTTAAACCTCATTTTTTGCTTCTGAGAATTGGGGATAATATGAGTACTTCCGAGAATTGGCATGAGGATTAAGTAAGATAATGCATGTGAAGTGTTTAGCCTAGGCTTTGCCCATAGAATTAGGCAACAAGCATTATTAAAAGCCTTACAGGATTCCCTTGTGGCCAGAAACATGGATGCTTCTCTTTTGGGCTAGGGCAGGGGTTCACTGTCCTGCTCAGCCACAGTCCCCTTTTCTCTAACCCCCAATCCTTTCCCTTTCACCCTTGATCCTGCTCCTTCTCACTGTAGTCTTCTTCTTATTTCCTCTTATCTATGAGTTCAGGGGCTGTCAGAGGGAATTGCAATGTGTGCAGCTACAGATCTGTTGTGTCTGAGGGAGGGGGTGAGTTCAGGGGCCTCCCAGGTTGCCATCTTGGCCCGGAACTTTCAGGGCTTTGGCTTGAGCTTGAGGAAAGGCAGTGCATAGAAGAGTAATGAAAACTCTCTTTTCCTAAATTCTACTGAACAAATCTTTAGAAGAGTAGAGGATTTTTCTACATTGTAATTCTTACTCATTATAGAGAATTGGAGTAGGATCATGCAAGGATATGTTTGGTGTGTTAACGTGTAATAGGTGGGTGGTGTGGATGATGGTTATGGGGATAGAGAATAAAACCTGCAAGCTCTGTGGGCGGCACCTTAACTGTCATTCCACCTTGATTTGGGGGAGAAGGTCCAGAATCTTTTGGGTTCCTAGAGGTAAAATTCATTACACACTTTTATCATTATCATGGCTCTTTTGTGGTCTCTGAACAATCAATGCAGGAAAAGCTTTTAATGTAATATCTAATTGAAGTAGCTTTTCAGTGGGGGCTTTTCTCTTTGCTTCTAGCCTACTCCAGGTTGCTAGCCCTCTATTTCCCAGTTTTTCTTTTGCTTTTGAAAGAATGGTTACACCCATCAGGCCTGCAGCTGTCCACTTGTGCAGGGCATTTAATATCCGGTTTGCAGGCTGAACTCCAACCTGAGGTCGGTCCACTGGTGAAGTCATTAGCCCCGCCATGGTGGCATCTACCTGGAGGAAGAAAGGCATTTTGTTTTCTACTTCTTTTTTTTTTTTTTAACTTTTTTTTTCAACGTTTATTTATTTTTGGGACAGAGAGAGACAGAGCATGAAGGGGGGAGGGGCAGGGAGAGAGGGAGACACAGAATCGGAAACAGGCTCCAGGCTCTGAGCCATCAGCCTGACGCGGGGCTCGAACTCACGGACCGCGAGATCGTGACCTGGCTGAAGTCGGACGCTTAACCGACTGCGCCACCCAGGCGCCCCTTGTTTTCTACTTCTAACTGAAATCTGGTGTGGAACAATATACCCCTACCCCTGTTTGGCCAGCTGATGCTCTCGCCTCTCTGAGGGTAAAATTGAAATGCATAGGGTATTGCAGTGCACCCACTGATGAGCTCAAGCATATATTGCACAAAGCTGCAAATCTGTTAATGTGCTTTAAAGCCCATGTCCTGCCTCTCCTTTTCCTTATGCCTGAAAGGAGGTATTTTTACTTCCAGATGCCAGAACTACTGTGATTTAAATCCTTCCAACCTTTTCTTGCCTTTTTTTTTCCTTTTGAAATGCTAATGAGTCAAAACCAGAATTAAACAAACCTGGAATGTATTTTTAAAATGACATTTAATGAGTACAAATTTACAAAAGCAGTCATCCCTTAACATGGGGCAGACATACAAAAACAAAATGTTTATGAGCTCAATAAAAATTTTCCTAGAATACAGTGAAGTTTAGTCTAACTTTTTTATGTAAAACGGTCTGGACCTGTTAAAAGGAATATAGTTTGCTACTTTCGTCTGCTCCAAACTCATTCTTTCCAACCCTAGGTGAACTGGAGGAGTCAGCTGTGTTAGGATGGCCAAGTTGGTTTGATGGTTGGGGAAAAGGGATGTTGAGAGGGATGAAAGGAGGAAATTGGCTTCTCTGGTCCACCGGTGGGGCTGGGGACCCTTGTAGTTGAAGCTGAGGGTCAGGCCTAGCAACGCACTGTTACACCAAAACCACTGGATGTGTTCTTTAACTTCTGGCTTCATGGATGGCTTTTATTAACTACATAGGTAGAACATTTTTACTAGGTTATAAAAGTAGAGTTTTACTCTAGGCAGCTTCCCCCCCCCCAAGTTGTATCATTTTCTATTTTTAGTGATGAACTATGATCAAGTAAAAACATACCAAAAAGCATGATTAACCCCAGAGGTTTTCTTTATATCAGTATAAAGTATTTATACTGGATAGTATTTAATTTTGAAGCAACCATTCTCTAGACAAAGAGCAGTCTCCAACCCTAGAACACTCAGTTGTTTTGCACAAAACAGAGTAGATGAGTAATGACATTTTCTCTGTCTTTCCCACTGATGCTCTAGGGTCAGTGCCACACACCTCAGCTCTGCTCACAGTTTTCCAGGTTTTTTGTAACCTTGCTTGAGTGAATCAAAGATAAATTAATGGAGCATGCATTCTGTGTGCCTTCTCAGGGAACACAAACTGATATAAAAAACAAAATCTGGGGCTCTTGGGTGGCTTAGTTAGTTAAGTGTCTGACTTCAGCTCAGGTCATGATCTAGTGGTTTGTGGGTTCCAGCCCTGCACTGTGCTCTGTGCTGACAGCTCAGAGCCTGGAGCCTGCTTAGGATTCTGTCTCTGTCTCTCTCTCTCTGACCTATCCTACTCATGCTCTGTCTGTCTGTCTCTCTCTCAAAAATAAATAAGCATTAAAAAAGTTCTTTAATTTCATAATCCCAATTCTTGGCAAGTATTCCAAGGAAATAATTTAAAGTATGGAAAAAAGTTATAAGTGCTAAGGTATTCTGAAATGTTATTTGTTTTAGTAAAAAACAGATATAACCTACGTGTTTAATTAGCGCATTGGTTAAATAAGTGCCCATTTGATGTAATATTAATGCAGCCATTAATAATATACATATACCATGTAAGTAAGAGAACAAAACCACTGATATATTAAGTGAAAAAAGGAGGATGTGAAGTTGAATATACAGTATAGATAAAACTATTTTCAAAAAGTTTCATAGAAAAATCTCCTGGATGGTGGGTGATATTCTAATATATTTTAATCATTTTGCATCATGTAGAATATATGATAATAAAAGTTAAAACAGAAAGAATGGAGTAGGCAGAAAAATGTCAAACCCAAAGCCTTTGGGTTATTTCATTTTGTGGGAAGTGGGTGCCTAAGGCCCCTTTCAGCTTCATGTATGAGCCAGGAAGGCTAATCCTGTGGAAAGTCATCTTGGAAATGGTATTATCAGCACAGGAAAAATAGAGCAAACCATCTGCATTACAACAAAGATTTGAGAAAGAACCAAGTCTTATATTTCAGCTACTGTTCATGCCTCCCTACCCTAAGATTTTACATAATTCTCTCTCATCTATGCATTTGTCAAAATTATACTTTCATTATTCATTTAACGTCACTGCTTAAAATTATATAAGCCTTGAGAATTAGAGAAGACACTTTTTTTATACTAGAAATTCATTTCATAGATGATTAGTATTGACCAATATTTGGAATATAGTATTCACAAAGCATACCAAAATATCTAAATCATACATACCTAGTATAGTGCAGCTTTACAAAATTTATGTAGCTTGCTGTCTAAAATTCTGGTTTATGTGAACTTTTCGTGCAAGGGTTTTATCAACCCTTCCTTGCTTGTTGTACACTGAGAAAATCCAAGTGGATATCTCTCAATTGTAACTCAATCTTCCGTGTACTTATTCCTTGTAAAGGAAGGATCTTACGACAACAGTAATAGACTTGCATATATCCAACCCATGGTTACTTCCAATAAATTGTGAAATTATTTGTTGTGTTATACAATGGTTCTCCACAGTACACATCCATGTTGGCAAAAGCAAAATCAAAGAGCACATTTAACTACAGAATTCACTATGGCAATATTTTTGACCACCTTCACTTGCAAAGAACAATAAGAAAAATTCTCATTCCTTTCACTTCATTGGTCCTCCTTTTCAGACATACCTCAGAAAGCCTTTATCAGTGGCCACCATCTTACTGTTTTCTTTTTCATTCCACTCAGCCCCTTGACCCAGAGAAGGAAGTTGCCGTACTTCCCCTGGATTTTGCAAGACATTAGGTCATGCACGTTGCCCATGACAAAACAACTTTTTAGTGTGAAACCACAAAGGTAACCATGACCTCAGCCCTGCTGCCTCTGGGAAAAAGAGAGGCAGGGACCTACACAGATTCATCACTAACCTGAGATTTACTGGTGTTCTATTCCTATCTGTCAAGTTCTTAAAGTCAGGCAACAGCTCCTTCTCTGTTAACAAACTTCAGGTCATGGTGGGAGAAAAATGGCTTCTTAACTGTTCCCATTACGTAGTCTTCTCTAAATATACACTACTACAGTTCAGAGTCCAGGTGGACTGAACTTTGCTTTAAATATCTTTCTCCATTCAATGTCGGTTTCGCATTCCTCTCCCAGCCCTGGCGGATCCGTGTAAGGGTCTTGTCTATACATGGCAGGACGAGGACGAACTTGATCACCAGCACGATGCAGGGAATGATGAGTGCTATCACGTAGGCTGAAGGAAGGTACCATATGAGACTCGAAGGACTGAGGAATCTCTTGCCACCATACACCATGGTGTGGGCTGTGCATAAGATCAGGGTCAAATAACCCAGTTTGGACTGGATAAGCAAGAAAAGAATATGTACATTAACACTATATTTATATTTTAAAATGAAACACTCTAAGCCAATGCAGGATATTTATTACCAACCACAAACCTTTGACGTCTGTAATATTTAGAACACTCTGCTAAGTACTGGAGAAAACATTAACCCTCCTCCAGGTTGATAAATATTTCATTTAAAAAATATTGTGCTTATAAATGATATGGTGGTTTCATCCTTTTTTAAAAAAAAATTATTCCTGAAGTATAGTTGGCATACAATATCATATTAGTTTCAGGTGTACAACGTATTGATTTGACAATTCCATATGTTTTGTACTGCTCACCATGACAAGTGTAGGACCAGCTGTTACCATACTATTTTATTACAATATTATTGACTATATTCCCTGTACTTTTCATTCCTGGGATGGGCGAAATAGGTGAAGGGATTAAGTGGTGGTTTCATCTTAACCTGGCTAGATGGGAAAGTTTTCCAGAAGTAAACTTTTTTGAGTTAGAATAAGTAATATACTGTGGCTTCTTCCCCAGTGGTGAAACTCTTTCCTTGATCAACTTTTCTGGAGGCCAGAGATGCTAAGACAGTATGTCCTTAAGAAGCACCACATTAGTTTATGTTACAGACTAAAAGCAGATGCTAGCTAATTTCTATTGCAGTAAAGAACAATTAGCAAACTTTACTTTTATTTGTTTGTTTTGGCCTAAATTCTAAAGCTCAATGTTTATTTCTGTCTTAATAGCCTTGACTAAAGGTGTTAACATGAGAAAATGTTGACTGCATTTGTTCTCTGGGAGAAACTGCAAGACTTTCAGAAATTCAAATAGTTTTATAAAATTCAAATCCAATTCCAGTTACTAATGGTCTTTTCTGTTACACTGATTCACAATGAGCATGCATCAGAATAATTTGGAAGGCTTGTTAAAACACATTGCTGGGCCACACCTCTAGAGTTTCTTCTGATCCATTTGGTCTGCGTGGAGCCTGGGGACTTGTGTCTCTAATAAGATCCCAGGTGATGCTGAGGTTCTAGGTAGCACACTTTGAGGACTACTGGTCTATAAGAATAGTAACTAACTGCTTTTAGTGAGGTGTCTGGTGGTTGGTATGTGGGCAAAACCAATTCTCCCTTGTATAGACCCGCACTGAGTCTGGTATGACAGTCTAACAAGCCTTGCTTTGGTGGTTTTAAAGTTGAGTTTAATATATGCCTTTTTTGTATCAGTATGTCCTTATTAGAAGGCAGATATCAGAAGTAGAAATTTTGTCTTTGGGTTTCTCTTCACCTTGTGCCTAGCATATCCCTACACACAAAGTTTAATAGTTATTGGTGCTCTTCACTCTATACTCACACCTATGGCTCTAGGAGTAGTCAGCAGTCTTGGCATGTGATGCCCAGCTAGGAAATGAAACTATTATGCAATGCCTTTTGGTACCAGAGTTTAGCATTTTTGGACTTGAACGTGTTTCACTTGCTATTTTTGTGACACTGCGGTGGAAGTGAAGGAGCATAATGAAAATCTGTACATCGTATGAGAGAAAAATGAAAATATTTGTAAAGCCAGACTTATTTTGCAATATAAAGTAGATTATATCTTGAAGTTGTTACCTGGACAAATCGGAACTCTCTCCAGTTGACCGTGTTGCTAACGGATGGCAAGGAAGTGATTCCCAAGAGTACAAACAGGAAAAATCCAAGGATTCCCAAAGCTACGTATGAATCACTAAGCCAGGCAGTAGAGGTGCTAAATGGATCTTCTCTCTTTGCCGTTGCCTAAGAAAAATTATTATCAATTTTTAAAAATTACATTTTTTTTTTTTTACAAACTGCCCAGACTTTTAAGGGGAGTGAAAAATACCTCTGCATACTATATTTGCTCAGGACAAATTGTATGCATTTCTTAATAATCACTTGAAAATAACTATAGAGAAATATGTACTTGGAAATGATATTTCTTGGTAGAAAAAGTAATTGGTTCTGCTGGGACTTTATTATATAGTTGACTCTAGGAATTGTGTAGAAGGTTTTAATTGACCCTATAAATTCTAAAACAAAGTAAACATTTACTTAAACCTTCTTTACCATGTGGCTTCTTGTTCCTCAAGCAAAACTTGATGTTCTCAAATGATTATATCTGGATTCTGTTCATCTGCTTTATATGCTGATTATTCACACACACAATGTTTGGGTTCTTTCATGTTTATTATGTCATAATATAGCATCAAGTCTGCCCATACCACAGACTGAGAAAATCCAGGCCCTTTAAATGGGACTGTTACCTAAGAATATCCTATGTATTTGAGAAATAATGTAGAGAAATCCACAGAAGTACCATCAATGAGTTATTGACTAAGAAACTTTGAGACTTCAGTAAGATTGATCAAAACCAATTACTTCCAAACTAGAACGGATGGATAACACTTCCTCTGGGATTGCTTTATGACTCTCTGAGCTGATTCTCTCTGAATTGTTCACTATGCAGAAAATAGTATTTGACATTTGCTCAAAATTTTGTAATTTTCTAGTTTTTGAGGATGGCTTTCTGCAAGTCAAACATTAGTGGAGGTATAAGCACCCTTTTGTGAATTTGTTTACCTTCCTGTGACAGAGGTTTGAACAGTCCCCTTACTTTTATAAGATGGTTGGTTTTGACTTCCAAGAGGAAGTAGCATGCACAACAAGAGAAGCTTGAAAACTCATTGGTTTACATTTCTTGACTGCTCTCCTTCCCTAAGGAATTCAAGTAAGTGTTATTAGGTTTCCTGAGCCTCCAAATCTGCCAGTTTGCCAGCATCCCAGTGAATCCTGCAAGTACACATCTGCACCCAAGCGAACCTGGGAATCTAACTTTCATTCTCACTAGTTTTATGAGATCTCAACCAAATTCATTAAAAAAAAAAAAACAAACAAAAACAAAACCCTAAAACCCAAACTCAGAAAAACCCCAAACCAAACCAAAACAAAGAAAACCCCAAACAGGAACTATAGTCTACATTAAAAAAAAAAAAAGATGGTTTGGGGAACCTGGGTGGCTCAGTCGGTTAACTGTCTGACTCTTGATTTCAGCTCAGGTCATGTTCTCATGGTTCGTGAGTTCCGGCCCTGTGTCAGGTCCTGTGTTGACAGTGCAGAGCCTGCTTGGGATTCTCTGTCTCACTCTCTCTCTGCTCCTGCCCCCTCTCTCAAAATAAATAAATAAACATTAAAGAAAAAAAAAGATAGTTAGAAGAGTGATTTTCTATAATTGTGAAGTGGAATATGATGTAGCAAGATTTCCCTTTGCTTTAAGGAACTGGAGAATACAAATGAGTAGAGATTTACCTGGGTGATGGTTCTGTTTTTCATTGTCCATCGTACATAATATCGAATAGGAATCACTAGTGTGTAGAGGACGTGAAGGGAGGCAAATCCCAGTGCCACCAAGCCAAGCTGCTTTCTGCAAAGCATCCAATGGTCAAGCCAGTCTGGGAATCGGCGGTATTTTGTACCTCGGTACAGTTGCAGAATGGCAGCAATAACGCCCGGGAGGTAAACCAAGGCAAGCAGTGTAAGTGCTGCTATTGGGAAGACACGATTTGGAATGGAAATAGCCATGCGAAATGTGCTATCTTTCCCGCCATTAACATAGGGGTAGATTACATCTCTTATAACACAGTAGAAAAAGAAGAAGACACACAGAAAGGCAGACAAATAGAAGGGGAACTTCCACATTGGAAACAGTTGCAGGGGGTAGTTTTCAATTTCTTTGGCTGCCATGAGAGATCCTTGATCCAGTGGAGTAAGTCCAAGAGTACGAACAATATCCATTACTCTTTGCTTGGCTTTGCTGTCATTTCCACAGACGAACACCTGGGTTAAGAATAATTTATTTTGTACTTATTCTTTCTTTAATAATTACTTTGAAAGTCTATGTAAGCACTGTGCAGAGCAAGGACGTGTAGTAGTGAACTGCTTTTCAAACAAGGATATAGAAGCAACATGTTTTCAACTTGCACATGCGTGCTGGATAGTTAAGTACCAGGGTTGAAACTGAGAGTGGTTTTAGTATATCACACTGACACAGTAGGACTTGGTTCTCCCAGGGTGATGGTTTGATTTTTCTTCTGTATTTGTGGGTACTATATCACTTTGGGATTACTTTTAATCTCAGTGAATAAATGGAATCAGTTTCATACAGTGTGATGGGAATGGAAAGGATATCCATCAACAATTTAACTGTGTTACTTTTTAGTATTTATAGGAGGCCTCTGGAGACTGACACCATTGGCTTCAACCAAACTCAAAGCTGAGGGTGCTGACAGTGGGAAATAAATCACAACAATTGACTACTTGATTAAGCCCAAGAAAATTATCCATGGCACATATTAGCAAACTGAAATGTTTAGTGGGTATTTTGTTTTGTAATTATATTTTGGCATCTTTGAGGAAAGTGGACATTCAAACATTTACTTTTTAAAAGATTGAGTATAAAGTAATCATTTAATATTACCTGCCGACTTGCATCCAGTGCTCCAGACTGGAGAGCCCAGGCTGAGATGGTGTTAAATGCTTTTACTACGTGAGCACCTGGCACCAGCTGAGCAAGGTACTCGGCATTAGATTCTGGATACTGATTGATCTTGAGGTTATTGCTGATGTCGACCAATGTTTTCCCTTTGAGCACCTCAGTTAGTTCTGTGAGAAAACCATAATGCTCTCTGTGGACTGCTATGATTATGATGTCTGATTTCCGGGCCGCTTCTGAGTAGCTCAAGACCTCTGCACCGTTGGGCAGCAGACTGGACTTCTGGGGGTTTCTACTTCCAAAAACAATAGAATAACCACACTGGAGCATTTTAAGTGCCAGTGATCTTCCAAAATCTCCAGTTCCAAAAATACATACAGTCTCTTGCTTTTCTGAAGAATTCATAGTAAAAGGAAATGCATCTGTAGAAGTTTTTTCCATAACTGAAATATAATAACAGAAATAGTCAACAAAATATGAATGCTCAACCTGGAAAAGTTAATGAGAATCATATCCAGGAAACAGTGATCATCTGGGTTGCTCTCATCTTCTCATGAATTATCTCAAGCGTAATTCCCACATAATTTGGAAAGAGTAAAAATTTTCATATATATGCTCACATGTGTCTCATTTAACAAAGTCATTAGTGAAAAACTTCTGTTGGATGAAGAGATGTAGTGAAGAACCAAGACACTTATTGGTGGATGCTTTAAACCATGGACCTGTGTTACAATGATAACTGCATTTACCTAACACTTAACAGTTCCTAGAGTTCTCAGAGCAAAATCTAGCAAAGGATGCACTAGTAAGGAAATTGTAGACCAATTTACTTATGTTTTATGTACAAAAATCCTAAATAAAACATTAGCAAACGGAATCCAGTAGCTTGGTAAGAGAAAGTGTGCATTGATCAAATGGGGATTATTCTAGGAATAAATATAAAGATTAGTTCTTTAAATTCAATATTAGGAATCTACTAATATAACTTAATATATTAGAAGATTTAAGGAGAAAAATACAGTCAAATTTATGTATGCTAAGTGGACATATGTTAAAATTTGACATTTATTTTTGATTCATAGTCAAAAAGGAACAGAGAGATATTTCTTTAACATACAAAATATCTCCCTCAACCTAAAATCAATTAGTATTATACTTAAACAGAATTACAAAAAAAAAAAAAAAAATGACCAGAAACACTCCCAATAAAGTCATAAGCCAGAGAAACCTATCTGCCTTGGCCACTTTAGTTATTATTGTTTGGAAATTCTAGCTAACACAACTAGACCAGAGTAAAAGATTTGAGATATAGAAAATCAAAAGGAGTTGTGGATGATCAAACTGTAATTTTGGGAACCTTGAGAAAGTCAACTGAAAAAGTACTGTAATAAAATCAATCCAGCATCTTGTTCAGGAAGCCAATTAATATCAATATTTTTCATTTATTAAAAAATAAGTTCAAGATTTAATAGAAGAAAGGGTCCTATTTACAGTTGCAACAAAATAGAGAAAATATTTAGGAATAAACTTAAGATAACAAGACAGGTACAAGAACTAGATGAAGAAAAATTAAACACTTAAATTATCTGTATCTATCTATCTATCTATCTATCTATCTATCTATGTAGAACCATAATAGAACTAGATGGAAACATTGAGGTTTCTTTTATAACTTTAGAGGGGAAAGGCTCTTTTCCTATAAATTCCTGAAACCATCAAAGAAAAAGGGAATAAATGTGATTACATAAAAATAAATAATACCCGCAAAGCAGAAACCACTATAAACAAAGTAAGAAGATCAACAAACTGGAAAAAATATTTTTAACTCCTACAAATAAAAAAAAATAATTGCTGGAAAGCCTGGGTGGCTCAATTAGTTAAGCATCCAACTTCGGCTCAGGTCATGATCTCATGAGGTCATGAGTTCGAGTCCCACATTGGGCTCTGTGCAGACAGCTCGGAGCCTGGAACATGCTTCAGAGTGTGTGTGTGTGTGTCTCTCTCTCTCTGCTCCTCCCCTGCTTATGCTCTCTGTCTCTCAAAAATAAATAAATATTTTTTAAAAATTGTCCTTTAGAAAATTGGGCAAAGGATATAAGTTGACTGTTTATCCTAAGGTGATATGAAAGACTTTTTAATGTAGTGAAACAAAAAAATCTTAATCTTACCCAAAATAAAAGAAATGCAAGTTGAAACTAAAGTTGGATACTGTTGTAAACCATGTGAGTTACTTTTTGAAAGTTTGTGAAATTTAAATTAAAAACAAATCAAAGTCCTCAAATTTCTCCAATGTAATAAAATAAATTTGGTTGTTTTATTAGAATATTTTTTTTCTTTTAGTACTGAATTTTTCCCAAAATTAATTAATTCTTTTTAAGAGAGAGAGAGAATCTCAAGCAGGCACCATGCTCAGCACAGAGCTCGATGTGGGGCTCAAACCCATGCCCCTGAGATTATGACCTGAGCCAAACCCAAGAGTCAGACCCTCAGCTGACTAAGCCACCCAGGCACCCCTATTATTTATTTTAAATAACATTTATTATTTAGTTTAAATTTTCAATTGACCTTTTCCTTTCTTTCTCCTTCCTTCTTTCTTCCTCTTTCTTTTTCTTTCTTTCCTTTCTTTCTCCTTCCTTCTTTCTTCCTTCCTTCCTTCCTTCCTTCCTTCCTTCCTTCCTTCCTTCCTTCCTTCCTTCCTTTCTTTCTTTCCCTCCTTCCCTCCCTCCCTCCCTTGCTCTCGCTTGCTTGCTTGCTTTCTTTCTTTCTTTCTTTTTGTTAGTAACGTATCCCCAGTGCTAACAAGAGCATTGATTATGATGGACTAGACACTTCCTGCTACAATTTGTTGAACGATATTAGAAAGGTGCATTGTAGGTGTTAGAAGTAGCTGTTTGCTCTGTGTGCCAGGCACACTGTGGGGCACATAATGAAGAGGAAGTTGAATGATTATGATATAAGAACGGGGAAGAATAAGGGAGAAGGAGAGAAGTTGGGGAGGATGTTGTAAAGACATTGCTTCTTTAATCCAAGTGGGTTTAAAGTAACACTCAGTGAATTTGCTGTGGAATTTTAAACCACATGTAGTCACTATTTAATTCCTACAGGGTGGCTTTCATGCTGATTGTAGAGCATATGAAGCTTGTACCTTTTTAATGGGATTTCAGAAATTTGCCCTTTCCATTTAGCCTGTGGAAAACACCTATACTCTTACCTGAGCTTATCTAAAAATGTGTACCTGTATCACAAGCAGACCAGTTAGAGCTTTGGAGGTAGTCACAAATCATGGAAGAAAAGGACAGGACATACAAGACTCTCCTGTGCTTCCACAGGAACTCTTTGAATAACTGAATTAATCATAGCAACTGAATCATTTTTAAAACCAGCTGGTGACTGATACCCTGAACTTTTGTGACCGCATGTAGGGAAGCACCTGAAGATGATATAGGGCCTCTCAGATGGGAACGTAGCTGTGCCTTTGAAAAATTTTTAGTAGCATCTACAAATGCAAACTAGGTTAGCAATTTATATTATATTGGTTAATTGCTAATCAGTTAACACCTTGTTTTTACAACTCAACCCCTCAAACTGGTAAATGATGCCTTAGTTACTGTCAGACTGTGAGTATGTTCAAAGAAGGTCAGATAGCTGTCCCCTCACTTTTCATCCAGTCTTTTATCCTAACATTATTTTCTATCTCTTATATTTGGATGAACATTTGCAAGCAAAATACAGATTTGATAAAGTTACCAGCAACTGTTAATGAGATGGATGGTATCTTTATTGACATATTCTTACTTGGATCATCTTAATCATTGCAAAGTGAGAGTGATTCCAGACTGAATTTTGGCAGTTTGGCCACTACCTTAATTTATTCTAACCTGTCATAAACTTAAAAAAAAAAAATGAACATATCAGCTAAACAGCACTATTGTTTTGCTCCAACTTTTTTTTTTTTTTTTTTTTTTTTTTTTAGTGAAGCTTAAACATAGGGTTTGAACTCATGATCATGAGATTAAGACCCTGAGATCAGAGCAGCTGGGTGGCTCAGTTGGTTAAGCATCCGCCTCTTGATTTCGGCTCAAGTCACGATCTCATTGTTTCGTGAGTTTGAACCCCACGTCAGGCACTGAGCTGACAGCACGGAGCCTGCTTGGGATTCTCTGTCTCCCTTTCTCTCTGTCCCTCCCCTGCTCGCACTTTCTCCTCTCAAAAATAAATACATAAATAAACATTAAAAAAAAAAGACCCTGAGATCAAGACCTGAGATGAGATCAAGAGTCCGACACTTAACCAACTAAGCTACCCAAATGCCTCTTTCTTTGCTCCAATTTTTACTACCACTCTCAGCTTGGGTAAGTTATTTAAACTCTTGGTGTCTCTGTTTCATCATCTTTAAAATGAGAGATTGATAGTACCTACTTTGGAGACAGTGTGAGGATTCGATGAACTAGTGTATCTTAATATAGTTCTTCAGATATAGAAAATGCTTAATAACTTATCTAATATTAATAGGTTATTCAAATAATTTAGTAATTTTCTAATTAACCAATCTATTAGTTACCTAATTAATGAAACCTTTATATAAATTCTATAAAGTAAGGGTTAATTATGCTTCTATAATGGATTATTGGAAATATATACAATTTATCTCGAATAGCATTCAATAATTCTTAAGAAGTTTCTGCTTTCCTCACTTATTTCTTAAAAATCCTGTGTGAAATGGCTTTAGGGCATATGAATTTATCAAAACATAGATATATAAACAGTTCAAGTGTGAATTTCTCTCATTTGTAATTCTTTCATATTTTATTTTAATATTTTCCTCTTAAAGTGCAGCTTAACAATCTAGTGTAACACACTTAGGTTGTTACACCAAACATTAAAATTATTTTCACTCTTGGGACACCTGGATGGCTCAGTTGGTTAAGCGTCCGATTCTTGATTTTGGCTCAGGTCACGAGTTTGAAATCCACACTGGGCTCTGCACTGACCCAGCAGAGCCTGCTTGGGACTCTCTCTCTCTCTCTCTCTCTCTCTCTCTCTGCCCCTCCCCTGCTCGTGCTCTGTCTCTCTGAAAATAACCTGAAAAAAATATTTTTAGTCTTAAACCTTCAGAGATATTACTGGGCAAATTGGAGGTACAAAGATGGTAAGGAGGTATTAAAATATCACTGATTGATTTAGAAAGAAATAGGGCAATTAGTTACTCCTTATCAAGTTATAGAAGATATAAGGTTGGTAATTTGGTGGCCACATCTTGAGCTCCTCTTCAAATCTTCCTGGTTCTACTTTTAGTTATTGGGCAGTAATGGAGCTCTGCTGAACTTCCACTGCCTATCAGAGGCTCGCTTTGGGGACCCACTTTGGGGACCCTCTTCATTCTTGTCCTGAGGTTTCTCTGATACCTGTACCTGCTTAGCATTCAGACACATATGACCCATGGGGCCACCATAGCCCAATGGAGGACGTGGCTCCCTGGATAAATGCTGACCCTTTCATCTTCTGGCACGCAGTTCTGACACGTTTTATAAGGCTCCTCAGAAAGCCACAGCAGAATACAGCACCACTCCTCCTTAGCAGTGGCCAAATTAAGGCTCTTTCCTGCCATCTTTCTCACGTTCCTAGTTTATGCCCCTTGCTCTTCACTCCGCTCCTTGGAATCACTTCCCTAGTAAATTCTGCATGCATACCTTTGTCACAGCCTCTGCTTGCCAGTCAATCCAGGATAATACAACAGTTTGGTTATTGTTTGTTTTCATGGAAAAAGCAAAAAAGATCAGATCTCAGGTTACCATAACTGGGATGATGAAAAAACATGTGAAAAATAAAGTTATTAATTCTTTGGAAGAATTTAATTCTGAACTCTTGGAAAAAATTCCAATGACAGGAGTTCATAAAAAGGAGATGTAGGCATAATTGAAACCACAAGGGAGATCAAGTTGAGGGTTCATTTTAGAGAAGGTATTATATAAAAAAGGAAGTTACGCCCATTTCTTACCATTTGTAACTCAAAATAGCTCCCGTGTGTAAACGTGGGTTTCTGGAGCTAGTAAGATTTCTTATGCCACTTAAAAAGTTTCCTAATCCTGTTTTACTTTTAGATGTAGGATGGAAGGAACAAAGAAAATAAGAAATGTGTTACACAGGAAGCAGAGGTATTAAGGGAAAGTAGAGTTAAGATAGTTAAAACATAACATAGTGATTTCTTTTTCCTTCTGCTCTTTACACACTTCAGTTCTGTCACAGGAAACACAAGAATACCCCCTGGATTGGAAAATCATTCAGAGGCTCCTTGAGATGAAGGCCAAGACAGGTAAAGTGACCCCACTGGGCGTTCATATAGATTAAGAGATTGGTAACCAACAGCACAGATGCAAAGGTGGCGAAGATGACTTGGAAGGGCCATGGTAGCAGCCATCAGAGAAGCTTGTGTGCCTGCGCATGGGTGCACTCATGTGCGTGCGTGTAAGGCACGGAGCGGGACTAGGTGTGGGTCATGTAGAGTGTTGCCCGTCATCTCCCTCTGTCTGCAGATCCCAGCCCAGGGATGGGGAACCTGAGACAGCCTTCTTCTGGGAAATTCCAACTAGGCTTCACTTGAGGAAGTTAGGGCTTGTCTGGTTTGTGTGTTTTATTTCTATCACCTCCTAGAGGTCAGAGATGAGAGAGGGCCCAGCCACTTCCAATTTAAGAGCATTCTAGCTTTTAAAAAACATAGAAATGTCTCAACAAGATAACAAAAATTGCATGTTTTAAATGTTTATGCCTAACAAATCAATGCTATTAACAAAAGAATATTTTTGTTGAAATACCTATAGATTCACAGGAAGTTGTAAAGATAGTAAGAGAGGTTCCTGGGGATTCTTCATTTCCTCCAGGGGTTACATTTTCCATAACTGTAGTACAATATCAAAACTGGGAAACTGATATTGGTAGAATGTGTGTGTACAGTTCTCTGTCATTTTATCCCATAGGTAAGTTCATGTATCCACTGGCGCCATTAGGATACAGAACTGTTCTAGCTCTACTCCCCTCTCTGCTCTCTTAACCCCTGGAAATCATCAGTCTGTTCTCTAATTCTATCATTTTGTCATTTTAGAATGAAATATAAATGAAATCACATAGAATGTAACTTTTTCATGCTGGCGTCCCGCCCCCCCCCTTCCCCGTCACATAATGCCCTTGAGATCCATCCAAGTTGGTGCATGTATCAGTTTGTTCCTTTTTATGGCTGACTACTGGTCCATTGTATGGACTTCTTCATTTGCTTATTTGCTACTATATGTCCTGTTTTTGAAAAGTCATCTTGTTGGCCATTTTTTAAATGGATTTTTGTTTTTTTTAACTGTTGAGTTTTTATATATTCTAGATATGAGTCCTTGGTCAGATAGGTGGTCTTCAAATATTTCCTCCCACTCTGTAGCTTGTTTTTTTATTCTGATGGGTCATTCGCAGAGCAGAGGTTTTTAATTTTGATTAAATTTAATATATTGCCTTTTCCTTTTGTGGATTGTACTTTTCATGTCATGTCTGGGAATTCTTCACCTAGCTCTTGGTCTTGAATATTTTCTCCTCAAAGCTTGGTAGTTTTATATTTTACATATAAATCCATTATCCATTTTGAGTTAATCTTTGTACAAAGTCTGAGGTTTAAATCATTTTTTTTGCCTATGAATATATAATTACTTCCCTATCAGTTTTTAAAAGACTATCCTTCTTTCATTGAATTGCTTTTGTACCTTTGTCAAAAATCGGTTGCCTGCACATGCATGGCTCTATTTCTGGGTTTTCTATTCTGTTCCATTGATCTATGTTTCTACACTCTGCCAATTCTATGAAGTTTTGATGACTTAAAATTAGGTAGACTCATTCTTCCCACTTCATTTTTTTTTTAATTTTCAGAACTGTTTTAGATATTCTAGTTCCTTTGCCTTTCAATATAAGTTTTTGTAATATCTTATCTATAGCTATAAAAAATTGTATATTTTAAATGCTTATACTTAACAAATCAATGATTTTTGACATTTTCTGAAAATAAAACATAATCTATTTGTTTTGTTTAGGAGATTATCATGGGCTGTATTACAATATTAATTCATATTAAAGTATAATAGCAGTGTGCAGTTATCTGATAAGTAGATACAAATCTAAACTTGTAAAATAGACTTCTTTTTATCCTAAGCAGTATATTTCTGTATATGCATAGACCTCATTTGGAGAACACATCAAAATAAAATTTTGAAGTCCTTTGTGTATCAGCAGCCAGAGGCAAATTGACCTTTCTCCCCTCTCTGTGCCCTGGAATAGATCCTGTTCTGCATTCCTTTTAGTAAGAAGAACAGGGATCAACAACCCAAAGCATGCCCATTCTAAAAGGTGGGCACTTTGTGGCCTTGCTTTTGGAAAATGGGCCATTTGTTTCCCCTAATGTTTTCACAGAATGAAGAGGAAAATATTTAAATACTTATGAATATAAGACCATTTTAAAAATGGGAAGAGGAAAGAAAATCTTCCTCTCTCTCTCAGGTGCAGAGAGCCCTGAAAGGAAAAATTAGCCTTCATGAATCCTCTTACATCTTCTATTCTGATAAATCTATAGAAAATACAAATTAAGGTAAATTCTTTGATATAAAGATACAATCTTATATTAACACACAATAGTAGAAGGCTTACTTGTTTTTTTAGTTTACCCAGTTTTACATATTTATACAAACTAAAAATGCAAAAAAAAAATGTTTCACTGAAAAAGGTTTGGAGGTAATCATGAAAAGGACTATAAAGACAAAGCTCTATCATCATCACAACACACAATTTTGGGTAATAGAAATAGTGTGCTGGGAACCATGATAAAACCATAAGTAGGCAAAGAAGGACCCATTTATTGAATTTCGTTTGGACAGGAATGCAGGGAGAGGGGCCATGGTGGTGGTATAGACAAACAGATGTCTTCCTGGCACTCTTTCCAGAGTTTTGTTCAACCATCAAGGTGAATTCTTAGAATCACTAAGGTTTATAAAATGCAAACACCCATACAAAGGAACCACTAGAAAGTAGTGGTTCTCAACCTTGGTATACATTAGGATCACATAGAGAACTTTTGTAACATACTGATGATCAAACTCTTGGAGAGTCTCAGTCAACTGGTCTAGGGTAGAGTCTGGGCATTTTCTTTTTCAAAAACAGCTCCCCTAGATGATTCTACTTGAGCCAAGAATGCAAACCATTACCTGTTAGCTTTCAGTTAATGGTCTGCTACAGTGGTTCTCTTCCTGGTCATACATTAAAATCAGCTAGGTAGCTATTAAATGCTAGGGCACCACCCCCTGAGATTCTGAATCAATTGGTCTGAGATAGAGCCCAGACATCTGTATTAACAAACAACAACACAAAAATCCAACCCAAACAAGCAATCAATTCTAAGGAGAACCACGGCTGAAAACCACTGCAAATGAAAAAAAGATAAGTCTATCTTTTTTGGAGAGAGATGATAGGGAAGGGAAAGGCAGAGAGAAAGTAGGGTGTTGATGAGGTTATAAGGGTTTGCAGGAACATTTCACCTGCTTTTCAACTTTCCCACCACATACTCATTGGCTGAGTCTGAGAGCCTAGAATTCCTATTTTTAGGAACACCAGAGGCAGGAATGAGTGTGCAGGACCCACAAAGAGGAAACTCAAGGGAGTCAGACTCAGGGTTTGGTATTAGACAGCCAGATAGGGTTTTGCTTTGTTCCTATCTCAAGGAAACCTTGACAGGATGTTCTCCATGAGCCACAAAGTTTGTTGGATCAATTCCCCTCACAGATCTACTACAGTGCTCCTGAATTTGAATAGTAACTCTCAAATGGTGCCATACACTATCTCGTTTATCATTTGGACAAAACCATTATTAAAGATGTTCTCCACCTTTCCCCACTTAATAATTTAGCTTTGAATTCTGAAATGATTGTTTAATCCAAGATTTTGAATTCTTTTGGCAGGTAGTATCCCCAGTGGACACATACACTGCCCCTGGTGTTGTAGCACACAAACCCAGGGATCTTGCTTGGCCCCTTCCAAAGAGTTAGAATACAAATAACATTTTTAAACTCTGTACGATGTGACACGATTTTTCATTTTAATTTGATGCCTGTAAACGGGGACTTTTTTTTAAGTCCCTCCTTCTGTTTTATTATTCCTTCTGAATTTCAACCTGAAAGCCCTACATGACTTGACAACAGATTTGTAATGAGCTGAAGCCCATCAATCAAGTATCTCCTTTCATCACAAGGCAGAGGGGCAGCAGGGACTTGTGCAATGGTGCCAGTCTTCTTGTGATTAGAGCATTTGTTTTAATATATCCCAGGGACAAATGGAAAGCAAAACATACTTTGAAAAAATTTAAAACCTTCCACTAACACATGAACTCCTCCAATTTTTTCACTGAGCTCTTTCTGTATTTAGTGAAATCAAAGTTCTTCAGAGAAAGCAAGCATATTCACATTTAAGCATGTATTATTTTACTGACAGGTATATATTATTGTAGCAAAATCAGAAGACCTTGGCTTAAAAAGACTTCTGATTGTAGTTTATGAAAAATGTAACATGTCTATAATCAATGGATTTTTCTAATTAATTGGTTTTTTTTGACATTCAGTCTTCAGTTGCACATGTTATTTGAAAATAAAATAGTGCATTTCTTATTTTAGCCTTGTAGTTAGAAGTACCTCTGTTAGTAATAGCCACAGACAAAAAGATATCTAGCATTTAATGCATTTAATCCAATTAAAAACCACTGTAGGTTGGTTGCTGAAAAACTGATAAATTATTTCAATTGTTTTGTGAGAAAATATTATTTATCTCATAGCAACCAAGTTTACTGATGATTAGCTTTTATGCTGGTCAACAGAATAATGCAAAAGGAAACAGGAGTCTTAACCTGTACAGTTTGATCAAGTCACAAGAACATAACTATATAACCTTCACGTTAATGTTCTATAGGGATTTGCTAATAATGAGAACCAGCTATGGCCTGTGCTGCAGCTATAATGATTCTGTTAGTAACATCTCACTGCCACCCAATGAATTACCAAGACAGCAAGGAAATGCAGACCTCTAGTATCTATTTTAATTGTTCTTTAAAAGAAAAAATTATTTATTTTTAACTTAAGTTCTCCATGAAATTCTCGTTCAACCAAAAACCTTACTAATACATGTTTTCACATTTGGGTCTCAGCCACATTTGTCAAGATTCCCTGGCCAAGAATTTTATCATGTAGGTTCATTAGCCACTGACTAGGTTGGTTAATTTATTTGATTAAAGCCTGGGGCTCATGA